ACAAGTCATCCTCTGTCCTGCTGGATTGGTTGTTGATGGTGCTGTACGCTACTGAAGGGGATCCAGATCCTTGAGGTTATGTTAATTGGTGGTTTTCAACTTTTGTACTGATGGAAGCCTTTTCTTACCAACTTCTTTACTGCACAGGACCTGATAGTTTACTCTGCACAGGATTCTAGGAGAACTCAAAAGCTAGAGAGCAGCCTAGTGCTATAGAGGTGACAAACTGCACATGAACTGAGTGTGCCCTCTAGAATGTATCTGATACTCCCCTGCAAGGTTGGCATTTCTTATAATACAGTTTGAAAACCCATAATTTTTATGATTGTTTTAAAACACGCATGAGATCAGGCAAAGGGACGATTTTATATGGTGATGACAACCTCTGACTTCAAATGATCCAGAATTATGGATCAGAATTAATGTTGGTTTGGAGATGAATACTTGTGTTGGCTCTTCCTGTCCCAACTCTCAGCCAATGGTTAAGTGCCTCAAATATAGGGATCTAAGGTAGATATCTCAAGAATTTATACTGGTGGTCGGCATGGGTAGAAAATACTCCAAATCCTATTTTTAGATTTGTCTTTAATAAGGACCTGGTAGGGTGGGAGCAATGCTTCAATATATTTCAGAAGGGACCACAAAAAGAACAACAAAAATACAGTGTATGTATATATTTATCAATTGACTAATGTTTCTGTATTTGAATGATTTTGGTAGTGTCAACAAGTGATTGCTCCTATTGTGTTTACTGCTCTAAAATTACTTGCATGATTTCTGGTATATTAAATTCTTTAAGAAAGATATCTATCTCTAACCATGTATCTGTCTATACACACGCATATATATAGTCAGCCTGCAAAACATTGTCAGATCAGCCATGTTTTGTGCAAACTGTATATTACTGTTGTGAGCAACAATGGTATATGACCTTTAATTAATTGTTGGAATTAAAATATGTTTTTATGGATAAACTTGTCTTGTGTGTTCAGAAGAGCAAAACTCTAGATAACATTGGCTGTTAATCTTACAGTTTCATGAAAGACAGAAAACCCATTCATTTTCATTGGGCTTATAAACATATTGGTCTGTGACTTCAGTTTAGTGTGTCATGTCAATCCAGTTTATTTGCTTGATTAAATTATAGTTAAATAAAACATAGGCTAACACAATGAATGAAAACAATTGGAATCTGTTCTGATGAGTCAGAACTTTTTTTTAAGGGAAGAGAAAGAAGGAGGCATGAGAGATGGGAAAGCACAAGGAATAAGGGAAACATGAGGAAAAGAAGCAGGAAAGCAGACATAACATTTTTTTAAAGCCTTAGCTTGTGTCATAATTGGCTGAGTTTGCAGAAGATGCTAAGCTAAACACCAGTTTAAGCTAAAGCCCACTTTATATATCTGTGCACACCACAATATATATTAGTAGATGTGCTGTAAGTTGGAATCTTGTTCACAATTTCTAACGAGCCATAAGCCTCCATCATCTTTGCCGCAATAGACTTACACGGCTACCGTTCTCCAAAATTAGACCCTTTGTTGCGTTTGCAATAACAATGTTCCGTTTCTAAACTATATTGCACCTCTTCTGTTTCTGAAGATTATATAGTTGCAAGACATTCGCGCAGTCTCCACGGAAGCCAGATCAGATTTCAGCGTTCAGGATTGGGCAAGGCCTTTATTAGAAACAAACAGCTCAGCAAAACGACGGGGAAAAAAGCTTCTTACATAACATGCCAAGAAAATCACACGTGTAAATAACCAAGAATCGAGCCAAGAGCAATTTCACAGGTTTAAATTAGAAATACCCAAAGATCGCCGAGTATGTGAGTCCCTGATCACCGATTAATTCTCGCAACTGTTTTTAGTTAGCATTATTTTATGGTATTTTCTGTTATTTTTTTCTACATCCCCCAAGGTCATATTGTTCGAGTTGGTTGGCCATATAAATGCTTTAAGCGGGGAACTACTCTTCCTAGTTCTACATGGAGCAAAATGTATAATGGAAAACCGTCCCAAGTACAGTAGTAAATTAGGCACGAGATTTGCCATGGGTTTTTTCTAGTTCCTTCATGGGGCCCTTCCCCCCCCCCCCCCCCCCCCCCC